GTCTAGCGTATTTCACTCGATTTTACATATTTGTAGACATTCTAGGGCAAATTTGGTTTTGATATTGGTTGGTTGTGTTCTTGGTGTTTAAACAGGAATCCACACATAAAGAGAGCAAAAGAAGTAGAAAACATGGATTGCGGAACATCACGGACGAACCGAAAACATTTGGAGTTGTTTCGGAGAATAACCTCCTCTAGTGATCTTGGAGTCTATGCGTAGATATCAAAGAGATCTTTCCAATGATGTAGAGAATGCATGATTTGGACTTGTAGAGTGAAATTTATTGGACTTGAAAGATCTAACTTTTCTGATGTTGGAGCAGGAGGTTATGAGCAAATTGGTGAAGCCCGTCAAAACTGCGATGTGACACAATCGTGTCACTTGTGTAGACACGATCAGGTCATTTAAAATCCGGAAATCTTCCAAATTTACCAAAGGAAAGAGGAAATAATTAGGGCTAGCCTCCAAGGCCGAATTCATTCAGACTTTTGACAGAAAATACACCCTAGAGCACACAAAAGGGGGTGATTATCAAGAGGCAAGAGATCCGAGTAGAAGACGGAGATTACGAAGCCAGGAAATCGACTAAGTATTCTTTCTTTCTTCTATTTTACCATTGTTAGGATTTTGGAGATCCCTAAACATGCGTTCATAACGGTTTCTAGGGTTCCAATCTTGGGTTTCATGCAGCGGAATATATAAAACGAAACCCAATCAACAGATCTTGCATATAATGATAAAAGGTATCGTTATACCAGCCTGTTTCGATCCAAGGACCTGTCACAAATACTGAAATCAAGCGCTCTGTACAGTTAGTCCACACTCACGGGCTTGCGTCTGCTAGAACGTGATCTAGAGGTCGGGAACAAAAACCGAAGCACTCCCCGAGAGAGAGAGAGACGGCGGCCGCGAGTTAGAGAGAGAGAGACGAAAATTTCACTCTTAATTATGTTTAGAGAAACATAATTATAAACATGATTAGGGTTTCATTAAACCCATTGGGTCTAATGGGCCTTCACTTAACTATTAAGTTTATTAAAGCCCATTAGTCTTATTAGATATCATATGGGTCCATTAAACCACTTAAACCCATCCAATGGATTTCTAATCAGTTTCGCAAATCGATCGTGGTCAGAGCACCATATCCATCAATCTCCCACTTGCTCTACTCATGATCGAGTTTCAGTCTATCACAATAGACCATCCCAAGCACGCTCCAGAAAATAGTAACAGCCCTACGTGTGTGACCCTGTAAGCCCGACCAACGCAGACATAGTTCCGAAACCATTTTGGACTAATAATCATAGGTGGTCTCTAGCAAGACACTATGACTCCTTTGTCAGACTAGGTTAGTGTGATCTAACGAGCCACGTAACATTCAACACTTGTGTTCTTTTTGTCACATTAAATCAAAACAGAGACATGGAACAAGTCATCTCGTCACATTTTGACTGCTTTCTCGTTCGTTGAGTTAACTGAACATACAGATGACTCTTCATCTGTTTGCGCGCGTTTCAGCTCAACTCACTCGAGGGGCCCAGCATATCTCTCTCTTCACATAAGAGATGAACAAAATCCCGTCTTGGCTCTTTACTACCCTCTATATGATTCATGACATTCCCAACTACAACCGTTATAGTCGTCCTTTTACAGTTCCGACGTTTGACTATGTCAAAGAAAATCACTCCTCATGCCGGATACATATAGAAACCTCAGGTGTTAGGACTCAGCGAAAAATTACATGAGATTCAAGTCATGACGTCAAGTCCATGTGATAATCTCATGCGGGTCATCTAGTATTCATTCACAAATACCTATGATCATGATCCGTATCTAATACACTATGATCATCTCTATGATCATCCATCATGCATCATACTAGTCTTTATTCGTTAATGTTCCCACATTAACGATCAACTAGAGAATTTAGTATTATTACGATAATAATACATGGATAACATTATTAAACAATAACATGCAATTTGAATAATAATCAAAAGAAAAACATATTTCCATTCATCATAATGAATCCAAGTACAATAAATAAAGTGTTTGTGCGAATAATCATGTCTAGAGCATAAAACATCACAATCTCCAAATGCTCTAATCATAATCAACTAAATGTCTAATCCCCATCAACCTAACATGAAATTCATGTTTCGACGAAGGGAGAGGCTTCGTCAACGGGTCAGGATGTTGTCATCTGTCGATACTCTGCATATAATCACATCTCCTCTGTCTACGATTTCTCTAATAAGATGAAATCGCCTGAGTATGTGTTTAGATCTCTGGTGTGACCTTGGTTCCTTGGCTTGCGCAATCGCACCATTGTTGTCAAAGTACAACATAATTGGGTTCGCAATGCTAGGAACAACGCCAAGGTCTCCAACAAACTTCTTGATCCAAACAGCCTCCTTTGCCGCATCCGATGCAGCAATATACTTAGTATCTGTAGTGGAATCTGCAACGGTGACCTGTTTGGAACTCTTCCAACTAACAACACCACCATTCAGAAGGAACACAAAACCTGATTGTGATCGACAATCATCCACGTCAGACTGAAAACTGGCATCGGTGTAACCACTTACAACGAGTTCATTTTCACGCCCACCGTAAACCAAGAACGCATCCTTAGTCCTGCTCAGGTATTTCAGGATGTTCTTTACGGCTATCCAGTGTGGCTCACCTGGATCAGACTGGTATCTACTCTTTAGACTCAATGCTAACGATACATCTGGCCGAGTACACTGCACGTCATACATGATAGATCCTATCGCCGAAGCGTATGGAATTCTATCCATGTGTTCTCGCTCATCAGATGTCTTTGGACATTGATTCTTGCTTAGAACTAAATCGTGCCTCATCGGCAAGGATACTTTCTTGGATTCTTGCATGCTAAACCGTTTTAGCATCTTGTCGACGTAAGTACTCTGACTTAGACCGATTAGCTTTCTCGATCTATCTCTATAGATCTTAACGCCTAGGATATAGGCAGCCTCGCCTAAGTCTTTCATCGCGAAATGCTTTCCTACCAAGACTTAACGTCTTGCAGAGTAGGAATATCATTTCCGATGAGCAAGATATCATCAACGTATAAGACCAGAAACACAACTGCACTCCCACTAGCCTTCTGATAAACGCATGGTTCGTCCTCATTTTGCGAGAAGCCAAGCTCTTTGATTGTCTCATCAAAACGCAGGTTCCAGCTTTTTGAAACCTGCTTAAGTCTATAAATAGACCTCTGAAGCTTACACACCTTCCTTGGATGCTCAGGATCTTCAAAACCCTCGGGTTGTGTCATGTACACATCCTCAAGCAGATTCTCGTTAAGGAAAGCGGTCTTGACATCTATTTGCCATATCTCATAGTCGTAATATGCGGCTATGGTAATGAGTATCCGAATGGATTTAAACATAGCGACGAGCGAGAAGGTTTCGTCATAGTCAATACCATGAATTTGTCGAAATCCTTTCGCCACCAATCATGCTTTATAGGTATGCACGTTGCCATCTATGTCAGTTTTATTCTTGAAAATCCATTGGCATCCGATGGGTATTATCCCTTCAGATGCATCAACCAAAGCCCATACTTGGTTGTCGTATATGGATTGCATCTCATACTTCATAGCCTCGAGCCATTTTTCAGAGTCCGGGTTCGACACAGCTTCTGAATATGATGTGGGCTCATCGTGCTCCATGAGCACGAGTTCATCATTTCCAGTCACGATAAATCCATATCTATCGGGCTCATGTCGAATCCTGCTCGATCCCCGAGGTTCATCAACGACAGGCAAAGTCACAACGGGGTGCGAGATAGGTTGAACTGTTTCAACTATTTCGCTAGGTCCAGCTTCAGTTTGTGGCTCTTGGATTTCTCCAAGATCAATCTTACTCCCACTAGTTTTCTTGGAAACGAATTCTCGTTCCAAGAAAGTCTCATCTCGAGCAACAAACACTTTGTTCTCAGTGGGGTTGTAAAAGTAATATCCCCTCGTTTCCTTGGGGTAACCAAAAAACTAGCCTCTCTCAGATATGGGTCCTAACTTGTCGGAAAGTTGGCGTTTCACGTAAACGTCACAACCCCAAATCCTGAGATAAGACATCTTGGGACTCTTTCCAACCCATATCTCATATGGTGTCTTCTGAACCGATTTTGAAGGACTTCTTTTCAGTATATAAGCAGCAGTCTCAAGAGCGTATCCCCAGAAGGATATTGGAAGATCAGTATGACTCATCATAGAGTAAACCATATCTAATAGGGTTCGATTCCTCTGCTCAAAAACACCATTCCACTGAGGTGTTCCGGGAGGAGTCAATTGTGAAACGATTCCACAATCTCTAAGATAGTCAGTGAACTCTTGGCTCATGTATTCACCACCACGATCAGATCGAAGTGTCTTAATACTCTTGCCAAGTTGATTCTCTACTTTGTTTCTAAACGTCTTGAACAATTCAAATGTTTCAGATTTATGCCTCATTAAGTAGACATAACCGTAATGACTGTAATCGTTGGTAAAGGTAACGAAGTAAGAATAACCTCCTCTGGCAAATGTACTCATTGGTCCGCATACATCACTATGTATCAGACTAAGGAGTTCATCCGCATGTTGTCCCTTTCCGGTAAAAGGACTCTTTGTCATCTTGCCTAATAAGCAAGATTCGCATGCCTCCATTGATCCAAAACACCATCTGAATGGAGTTTGGCGATGCGTTTCTCGCTTATATGACAGAAACGACAGTGCCAAAAGTAGGTTGGGTTCAAGTAGTTCTCCTTGTAACCCCTTGTATTGATATTATAGTCAGATTAGATGGTCCATTACTCAATACATAAAGACCGTTAAATAAGTAACCAGTACCATATAAAAAAATGTCTTTATATATCGAAAGAATCTTATTCTTAATCGAAAACTCAAAACCATCCAAGTCAAGATAAGAGATAGAAATGATGTTCCTCCTTATAGCAGATACAAAGTAACAATTACGCAATTCTAAAACATGTCAAGACGGTAAAAGTAAATCATAGTCGCCAACACACAATGTAGAAATCTTTGCTCCATTTCCGACGCGCAGATTCACTTCACCTCTCGCCAACGTTCTACTTCTTTGCAGACCCTGCACATTTCCAAAAATGTGTGAGGCACATCCGGTATCCAATACCCAAGATGAAGAAGACAAAACGTTAACTTCTATAACGTTGATACCTGAAGATGAAGCTTCAGCAAACCTCTTCTTCTTCAGATCCTCCAAGTAGAGATTGCAGTTCCTATGCCAGTGTCCAACCTCGTGGCAGTAGTGGCATTCTCCCTTGTTAGGTTTGGACTTCGGCAACACAACAACTTTTGCCTTCTTTGCCAATTCCTTGCCCTTTCCGTTTTCTCGTGGTCGCTTTCTGGAACTCTTTTCAGATTGCATGACAAGGATACTCTTATCAGTCTTAATATTTTGCTCAGCCGATACCAGCATCCCATGCAGCTCGGTCAAGCTCTTGTCCATTCCATTCATGTAATAGTTCAAGACAAAATGTCGAAAACTATCAGGAAGTGAATGGAGGACCATGTCCACCGCAAGCTCCTTGTGATCTTAGCGCCAAGTCGTTCCAGATCATCAAAATGACTCTTCATTCTGAGCACATGTGGACCGACATGACACCCGTTAGCCAACTTACAGTCCAAAAGGCCACACATAACCTTTAACCTCTCTGAGCGGGCTTTCTCTTCGAACATGAGCTTAAGTTGATCCATTATCATAAGCGTCCATACCATCAAACTGTTTGATCAGATCAGGAGTCATTATTCCAAGCATAAGGCAACTTACATCACGGTTGTCTTTCTTATGCTTCAAGTAAGCATCCTTGACAGCCCGTGATGCATTGTTCGGTAGCTCCTCATCGACGAACGATTCGTCGAGGATGTACTCCTTATCTTCGCTTCTGAGAACAATTCTCAAGTAGTGGCACCAGTCAAGGAAGTTCGCCCCATTGAGTTTTTCACGCTCAATAATCGATCGCAACGAAGGTGACGGATTTGGTACACTACCAGTTCCGTTGTTCGCCATCTACAGAATTTCAGACAGTATAACAAGAAGGTATAAATATATACAGAAAACAAGCAAAGAACAATTCCAAACATATCAACAAACAATATAGACAAAACATGATAAAAGCTTTCACTAAGATAATAACCCTCGGTATCCTCTTACGGGTACTAGGATCCCAATTCAAGAACATAATCCTTAAGTTTGCTTTGGCATTATCCCTTAAGATTATGCTAATCAGGTAGACAAATAATTTGTCAATCACATCCAATGTGATTCCTAGCAATCATGAGATCATAATATCACATACTATTGCATGTTGTATCTCATCTTGTACCATTGGGTCCAAAACCCTTTTGATGACTCAATTAAGCTCAAACTATATTCGAGTTCATGGAATGAAATAACTTGGTACACCTCGCGTAGGCGAAACCTATACCAAATTATCTCTTCCATCCCGTCTCACAAAGATAACTCGGTGCACCTCGCGTAGGCAAAACCTACACACAGATGATCGATGCCTTGACGAATACCTTATTAATGGGTGGTGTTGGGATTTCTGGGATCTCTAAAGTGAATCATATTCCTAAGAGACCAATTCTAGGGTTTGCGCAGCGGATGTAAAACAAAATTTATATGAAACCCTGGAACTATGCATGCATGAATCGTAGAAACGTTAGAACGCTTACCTCAATCGATCCGGGGCCTGTATCAATTGATGTGTTCGTCCGACCACGAAAGGGAGGAAGATTACCTCGCCCTCTACACGTATCCACACCTCGGGATGGATTCCAACGATTGGAACTTGTCTGCTAGGACCCGAATCTGCTATTCGGTATTGTGCTTCGAGAAAACTAGACTTCAATCACTTCTTAGACCTTTTTGGATCACCCCAAAAGTCTTTAGAAGCTTGCCAAAATCGGCTCACTTTATTAGGGTTTTAATCTCCTTCTTATAAAGTGATTTAACCCTAATTTCGGTTTAATTTTCGAAAAACCCGAAGGCCAGAACAGACGGTCCAGATTTGCACGTGGATCATCCGTTCGAGCATGCCAGAACGGACGGTCTGTGATCCGTCGACCGTCCGTTCCAGACCTTCCGGAACGGACGGACCATGCTCTGGACCTGGACCGTCGGGTCTGGCCCTTCTGGTCCGTCGGGTCTGGACCCTTCTGTCTCAGTTTTTCGTCGTTTTCTCGCGCATTCGTCCTTCCCTGTGTGTGTGACCCTCACTACAAAAAAACCCCAAATTCCAGCCGGTGAATCCGTTGGAAAAGGCCGAAAATCCGTTGGAATCCGAAATTTCCAACGGATTTCCAATGGATAAATTCGTTGGAAAAAGGTCGTTGGAAAATCGATTCCTTGGAAATCCGTGGCAATTTCCAAATGGAATTCCAACGCAACAATCTGTTAAAATATTTCAATCGTTTCCAACGGAAAATTCCGTGGTATAATTCCAACGGATTTCCAACGGGTAATCCGTGGCAAATTTTCCACGGATATACGTTAGAATATCCATTAGAAAATTTCTAACGGATTTACAACGGCGTTTTCCACGGATATCCGTTGGAAATACCGTTGGAATCATCGTCGGAATGTTACAACGGTATTTACAACGGCTAGGTTTATCCGTTGGAAAAATATAACGGATATCCGTTGAAAACGTGTGTTGGACATTTGCAACGCTATTTGTGACGGACATCCATTGGAATTTATAGGTATTTCCAACGGATGTCTGTAGGAAAAGAAAAAAAATTAATAAAAAATAAAATAAATATTTAAAAATAAAATAATAATTATTTTATTTTTAAATATTTATTTTATTTTTTTATTAATATTATATATATTATATATATTAATTAATATATATATATAATAAAACAAAATTAAAATTAAATATTAAAATAAAAAAATTGTTAAAATATTACAGAAAATTTAAATTAATTGGCACTACGGGTTTCTTCGTCTTCACTGGTCCCGAGATTACGTATCGTCGTATCTCTCCCGAACTTGGCGGTGTGTTGTGGAGTGACCAATCACCTCGCATAAGCTCAACAATTTGTTCGAGGTTACTCACTTGTTGTCTCATCGCCGCTAACTGTTGTTCGAGTGTCTCGATCCGCCGTTGTTGTTCGAGATCACTCTGCATGTCGGGAGGAATTGCAGCACTGAAATCATCAAATAAATCTCGCTGTAATCCTCCCAATCCATAGATGCGGCCCTTATTTGGAGAGACTGTCTGAAAAATGTATAAAATATTTAAAATAAATTTAAATTACTAAAATTTAATATTTATAAAAAAATATTAAAATTTTTATCTCCACATAGCAACGATCTTGATCTGATGCGGAGAGGTCGGATGAAGAACCTGTTGAGTCGCCAACTTTTGTGAGAGTTGGGTAAGTCTCTGAGTCACCGTGCCTACAACGCATTCAACACGGGGATCGACATATGATGGCGTTCTTCAACTCTACTACTGTTGTGTGTCCGAGCGACCAACTCTACAATTGATGGCGTTCTTTCCATTTCTTTCTCCTAATATATATATATATATATATATTATAATAAAATTATTAACGCAATAAAAATTCTTCAATTAAAAAAATAAATTAAAAATTAAGTTTTAAATAATACCATCTCTTTTTGCCGCTTCTTGAATGATTTAGCACCGGAGGTATGACGATGAGGACCATCACCCTCGATTCTTTGGGCCAGACGACTTTGTTTCACCTTGGAACTCTTATTCTTGAAATGGTCCGAGTTCTAATGCGCAACAAGCTGTTGATACAAATCATTTGTTGCCCACTCCGGTGGCAGTCCATGCAGCTGATGACGACATTTGGCATTGTTCATCATTTGTTTCAACCGCTGCATGCCGAGCTGGTTGAACTCTTTGTAAACTTTATCGGTGTACTTTTTTTTCCACCGAAAAAATTGCTTTATAAAAGAAAATTAGAGTTAGTGATAAATTTTTCTATTTAAATGAATTTTAAAAAATAACTTACGATGAATGAGTGCCATCAAGAATGTTTCAGGTTGTCCGATACCACCATCCAACAGTAGTAGAGTTGAGGAAAATTAGACATTATTATTGTCGTAAATTTTTTCCTCAACTCTTTATCGTTAACCCCAAACCTAATAATAACATTTTATTATTAATACTAGTTAATAATATAATTAAAATAATTATTTAAATAAATTAATTTAAAACATTACCATAACGCCCCGTCAAGTTCGGGATCAATCAGCGGGACCTTGCGAGTTTCGAAGAAGTTTAAAACCTCCTCTACCTTCTCCAGAGTTATGTCAACCTCTGGGAATAGTGGTGGTGCATCTGGCGGATCTGGAAGACGAGAAGGTGGTGGCGGCGGCGATGGCGGTGCTCCAGAAGAACCCGTCAACAATCCACCGGATCCGGAAAATTGCCTACGAAACTGAAAGAAACAATAGTTACCATTTTTTTGGAGGTGTTTTTTTTTTTGTTGCGAGTTTGAGTGAGGAGGAGGAATGGGGGGCTCGGTTTATATAATCGAAAATTCCAACGGATTTCCAACGGGCATCCGTTGGAATTCTGTGTGCGCATTTAATGTCCTCTGATATTTTCCAACGGATGCCCGTTAGAATTTAGATTTCCAACGGGCATCCGTTGAAAAATATCTGGATTGTCGCGATAGACGCCAGATGCGTCGAACGGATTTAATGTTTCAGTTTTTCCAACGGATTTCCGTTGGAAATCTATATTCTAACAGGCATCTGTTGGAATATTTGGACAGATTTAATGTTTCACCAATCACAACGGGTGTCCATTGGAAATTTCCAACGGACACCCGTTGTAATACTGGTGACGATTCGATTGCTGCGCTTCAATTCCAACGGACATCCGTTGGAAAACTTGTGAAAATTCGATTCCGCATCCGTTGGAATTTAACATTTAAAAAAAATGAAATAAATATGAAAATATTCTTCAAAATACAATAAAAAAAACAAGTCTACATAGAATCTTCATCACTTTCATCATCCGGAGTTGTATCATGGTCCGAAATGAATTCGTCGATATCGTCTTGTACGTTTGACGAATCGTCAAGTAACTCGTTGTCTATGTCAGGAAGTGCAAGTGTATCGTCGTAATCATCTAGTTGGATAGGAAGAACCGGATCTTCGAGTTGCTCTTGCATTGGCTCATCGAGATCTTGTGTTGTCGACGAATCCACGATTAATCTTTGTGGATTAATCTTCAAAATAGCTGACCTTGATCTTTCCGTCGTCGTTTCACCGATGTCGCAGAATGTTTCGGATATGGAATGAAGCATACTTAGTCTGCGTGATCTGAAAGTATAAAAGGATCGTACTTTGCATATGAACGTTTCGGGTTTATGTCAACACCTCCCCATCGATTTTTCCGTGAGCCGCGTCCCGACGTTGTATCAAACCAATCACATCTGAATATGATTGTTTTCAACCCGACTAATCCTGGATACTGGAGTTGGAAAATCTGCCGAAGAACTCCAAAGAAATCAGGATCTTCAGATGACCCGCTTTCTATACAAACTCCGTAATTGAACGTGGATTTATGTTTTCCATGATCGTAAGTGTAAAACGTGTATCCTCGGGTGAACATTATCGGCCAGCAAATGATTTTTCTCCCAGGTCCATGTGATATATCTCTGATCCATGCTGGAATTCTATCACTGCATGACCGAATCTGCGCATAAAATCGATATGATGTATTAAATTAATTACTTCGATATGACTAATAAAAACACATACATGCATATATATATATATATCATAGTCTCAAAGACAAGACTTACATAGTCTCGAAGCCAAGATGCATAATGTTGTTCCTTCATTCCTTCAAGTTCCTCTCTACTTAGATTATGATATGTTGTCAAGACATCCTCGTCAAAAAGTCTTAAAAACATGTTATTAGGAAAAAAATATACATGTATAATTAATTCAATAATGAAGTCATTTGAGATTCAAAATGTGTACCTTTCGTATGGCTTAATTCTTCACAGTTC